TTAACTTTCCTAAAACCAGGGTAACGATCTGTCGCACCCCCCCATTGTTATAACAATGTACTAGAGTACCGATTTGTTGTTACCTTGCGAAAAATCGATTTTAATGAAAATTTTTGGCAACAGATGCCACCACTTGACTGTAGTGTGTTGTCTACCATCTGTTTCACATATTTTTGTCCAGGTGGTGTTTTGTTGACTCAGAAATTTTTATTTAGCGATTTATTTTCTTAATTTATATATTCTCTCATTTATTTTATAGCATATTTACGTAATAATATTACTAAAATACGTTCATTCATGCTATAATAAGTTTATTTAGTTATAATAAGTCAATGTATGATAAATATTTAAATTGTGATCTTCAATCATAATATTTTATATATTTTTTTATTTTTAATTTTTTAATTTAATCTAAAATATTAGCACATCGTAAATATATTACTACTGGTTTATATATTTATCACAAAAATTTATATTTTTGTTCGAAATAAAATTAATAAAGAATATTAGTTCCTAATATTCGTTGATAGCAAAATAAAGGTTTAATTCCAAACGAAGGATATATATAATTTGTGATAATTTTAAAACTAAAAATCGTACATTTATAAATGTTATATAGAATTGTACAGAACAATATTTCAAGTCGTTTTGGCTTAGTGCCAAGAACACTTAACTGGACAATGTAAATTTTAAAAAATGTTGCAAATCTTCACAGTTTGATGTCAGGTCCGATATATTATAATTTTTTTCTATTGAAGTTTATATTTAAATGTATTTAAAAATATCGAATTCATAACTACAGATATTAATAAATGTAACATAATTTTTGTCATATGAATATAACGATAAATTGATTTTTGATGAATTTTTCAAATAATATAACCTGTCTGACCTTGTCTGACCAATACTTCCCTTGGCCCTTTTAGAAACTACACGTAAACAGAGGGGCGTGGCAAACGGTAATGAAAGGGTTTAGTTGTAATAAATTATTTCTGATTTAATCTTTCTTTTACCGCAAATTCCACTTCCAATATAAAAGTTATTTTTTAAATAAAATTTTAATTGCCAGGAAAGTTATGCAACTCATTGCTGGATTGTTTAGGAGTCGATTGCAATCATCAGTTCTTCAACAGTTTAAATGAGAAGATATCTAGTGTCAATACATTAGATATTGAGGAGGCATGACTACATTAGCATCCTTCCAGTTAAATATAACATATGTTTGAGCATGTGTTCCCTAGCAAGAGCTATGGAAATTTATTTTTTCCGTGTCCAGTTAGCCTGGCTTTTAGAATACAGTAAATACTACCTGTGTAACATACATTTATGCTCTATATTTATCATCACTAGAATCTTGTACATACCATCTTTTAGTTCTTTTGGTTATGGATCTTTTTTGTTTCTGATAAGGACACATAGAGTTGGTGGACAAATTGTAGTAATCCTAATGTTATGTCCTTTAAAATAGTTTTGTGTAAGTTTGTAGAGTACAAGCCCATTACTTTGACATTTGTAATCCCATCTTTTCTTCAGGTTCATCTGCTGATTTTGGTAAAGTCAGGAGTCTATGTTGCACATTTTTATATATGTTTCAGATAAGCTGATATGGAAAACCAAAAGAAACTTCTATAGTCTTGATAGTTCTTATTTTATTCTTTGACCAGCAGATGAATCAATGCATATAAATAAACACAGCTACTTTTTACCCCAAAAAATCCTGATTGGTTGTGTAGATACAATTGTATGGCTATGAATTTAAGAAGTGATGTCTGTAAACACTTCTTAAACAGAAGTGATGTCTGTTTACAGACATCACTAGATATCTTCTGAAGAAGTGATGTCTGTTTATAGACATCACTTCTTCAGAAGATACCTAGTGTCAATACATTAGATTATTCTTAAGAAGAATTACAATACATTAAAAGAAAGTGTCTGTTTCAATACATTAGATATCTTCTTAAGAAGATATCTAATGTATTGAAACAGACACTTTCTGAAGTGATGTCTGTTTACAAACAGAACAACATCAACAACAGTCTAACATCAAGTCAAATTTGCCAATATAGTTAACTTAGTATGTAAAGACTACACTTTAAGATGGTTTCTTAACTGGATTAAAACCACTTGTGTTTCTTCAAATTGTTATCCATTGTTAAAATATTTTGCTTTATTTATATATTTCACCTTTTAGTGTGTCAAAAGCATTAAAAATAACACTATGTAAACATTTATCTCTAAAGTATCTAAAAGGGAATTGTTACATTAATAATCTTTAATCTAACTGAGACATACAATAATAATATTTTAATACTTCTTAACTATAGAATAGCAATAATACTAATTTCAAATATTCTATAAAAATATTCAAACAATTTAACATACTTCTCAATGTTTGCTAATCATATTACAGGAAATCCTTGTCAGTTTGAAATTCAGGGGATGAAATATTGCAGTTTCAAATTATCTGAGATTTACATATTTCTGTAAAATATGCCAAATGCATGGTGTTGTTCAAAATGATTTTCTAACTTTCTGGTTGTGATCCCTATATAGAAAATTTTTTGATCAGAATTCTAATCTTGCATAGGGAAAATATAGATACCCAATTTTTCTAGCACAGAAAATTTATCCCCATTATTAGACGATAATTCTACTTGGAGACAACTACAGTTTAATAGGAACAATTATTCAATATTTTTTGAAACTGAAAATTCTTAATGTGACTGATCCTAAATATGGTACGGCAGGATGTATAAATACTAAATTCTTATTTTTATTTTTGGTGAATAAAGTTGTAGAAGAAAGGAGAGTGATTTATAGACTAAGGCATCAATATGCTTAAATTTGACACAAGAGTATTCAGCTTTCTTTACCATCACTTTAAAGAACTACAGTAAGACCTCTGAAAGTTGACCACCCAAGAGACTGAAGGAAACAACCCTAACAACTAGACATACATAAACTAAAACACCAAAAAAAATTTACAATGTTGTTGTTTACAGTGTCAACAACATTATAAAAATTGATTTGATTTCCGTGAATCGAAGAATTCTGAATAAACAGGAAAGCACTCTTTAAATACTTTATGCTGTTCATTTTATTTACCAAGTTACTTTTGTGAATTTAAATCCATTAATTACATAATAAAGTATCAGCTTAATTGCTTTTATCATATATTTTTCATAAAAGCAATAAATTTTATATTCAGTCATTTATTGAAGAAAAATTATAATACAAGTTTCTTTTATATTGAGTTATATTAAACATTCAGATCAACATAATTGTTTTAATAAAGTTTTGTATATAATTCCATGATTAAATATGGTCATTTAAATGATTTGCATAGTAAATCTTCAAGTTAATCATTGATCTTTAAAGATAATATTGATAATGATTTGATCAATTTTAAAACATACCTTAGCAATGTTTACCGAACGTTTTAATAAATTCGCAGTTAAAGTCATTCTCGAAGAAAATTAACACAAAATTTCAGAAACAGCCGAACTTCGGTGACCTAAAGCAGTCACCGTCAGTCGAATTGCAACGAACGACTATAGCCCAACTTCCGCCAAATTAAAATCTTCAAATAAGAGAATATTTTTTAAAAAATCTTAGTTCAGAAAGAAAATTTATAACTTTAAATAATTATTATTTTTTTATACAAAAAATTATCCTAGAAAATTTATTACTCGTAAATAATAAACGACAATTTAATTTATAAGAAAGTAAAAAAAAGAGGGTAAAATCGATAGACGGAATTTGGCAATAATCTTAGCCAATTAGAATCGAGTACTCGATATTCTGTTTACAAAGACAACAAAATGGCGCTGAATTGGATTAAACATAGGACTAAAAGAAGACCGAATTTTTCTCCCGCCGAAATCGAAACTTTAGTAGAATGTTTGGAAAAAAATAGAGACGTACAAGACGATAAATTTCCCTTTAGCGATTTACAAGCGTGGAAGGAAATCACGAGAAGAGTAAATATGGTGAGTAACGTGCAGAGAAATAATCAAGAGATCATGTCAAAGTGGAGAGATCTTAGATGCAAAACTAGATTGAAAATTGTTCGTTCTAAAAAGATGAAAGGTGAGTCTTATTTCTTTAATGCAATTTATTTAAATGTAAATATATTATTTTACACTTTCCTCTTTCCTAGATCATTTATCTGATCTCGAGAGAAGAATTGATCGTTTAGGAGAAATATATGACAAACAAGTTAAACGAACAAGCCGTTATAAAATTCTAAAAAAGGTAGATAATTACCTGTTTAATTTCCAATATTGTCAATTATTATTATTTAATTTTTTTGACTTTGTAAGCATTAAGAGAACCTTTTTCAATCTATTGTGGGCTGGGCCAGGCCCAAAATTGTAGTATCTGAGTGGTGAACGATGTATCAATCCCGGTCATATCTTTCACATACCATAATTAGTCTGGATGTATTTACCTAATTTATCTAATCCAAATCGTCCGTAGTCTTAATGTTGGGTCATAAATGATTCAACATATTTGCTTATTTAGGCTGTGTTGTTTGTGAAGATTTTTGAGGATTGTTGTAGGATTTGAACTCAGATCCTTTAGAGTGACAGTTTTATGTCATTGCATTCTTAGCAATCTGGCTGTCTGGGGCCGTGCCAATAGATGAGGAAGAGAGACAACTGTTTCGGGTGCCAAATTGGAAGAAATATGGAAAAGGTGTCATATTGTTTATAAAAGTATAAATATATTGGCACTGTTAGGCTTGTCTTGGGTGCCAAAATTATTGTGAGGTTCTAAACAAGGTCCGAAATCATGAAAATATTGCATTGAATATATAAAAATTTCCTGAGACAAAAACAAAATAAAGGTTATGTAGGGGAGAGAGAAAAAACCCTGCAACCCTGCAGTTGTTAAAACAAACACGATAGGAAGATGAATGGATTGGGTGGAATGTTCACAGGGGAAGATGGAACTCTGACACAAGCACTTGTAAACAATCGATCTCGGTTAAAAAGTCAAAAAAGGGGACAGATTTGATGAATAGAAAAACATCACATACGATTGTTAAAGTTCCAAAATGACAGAAAACAGAAACAATGGACTAAATTATGAGTGCCAGATTTATAGTTCCATCAACAATCTCCAATCATAGTCGACAAAAAGGTGTCGTATAGATGCCTCCAATCGAATCTTTCTTGTGACCCAATTCTTGTGTCTTGGTTTTCACCTAGAAACGAAAGGGAGACCAATCGGGAAGCGAGGAAGGGGATACGGGACCAATCAAAAGGTGAGATTCGAGGGAAAAATCCTATAAAAAACCTGAATCTCAAGGCCAAAGCGCCAATTTTTGCCTAATGTAATTGTAATTGCAACTAATCTGTGTCGTTGACATTCCCATATCAGAACATTGACATCTCGAACTAACAAGCACCATCACTGGTCATCACGAGACATCCAAACAGTGAACTGACAAGTGAATTCTGTTATTTTGGACTGTGTGGAATTGTTGACCTAACTTTCTACGTGCACTACCTGTCAACATTCATGTAAGCATTAGTTTATTGTAATAAAATGGTTTTGTTGTAAGGACATGTCATCTTTGCCTCCAGCATCACCACCCACATATGATCAGTCCCTAGACTTTTCCTGACTACCAATTAACTAATTGCCCCTAAAAGTCGGCAGACTTACATTATTTGGTTTGACCCTGTGGCTGTCAATTGTTAAATTATATTGCATACTGAAATATAATATTTCAATACCATATTTTCACTTAAACAAAAAGATATTTTTTAATTGAAATTTAAAAATTTAATCAAAAAATTGTTATTTTTATTAATACGGAGAAACCTTCATTAATGAACACACCTGAATAGTAAACACCTCTATTTAATAGACATTTTTACTAACCCAAGACACCTCAAATAGGATGTCTATTATAATTACCTCTAAATAGCATATTCTGTTGTCCATAAACAACCTTATGAAAACAGAGAATTTGTTCAAATACTTTTTTAGATGACAAATTTTGACTATAGGTGTTGAATAAAGACAGGTAGAAAATAGGAATAGGGAAGGAGGGCAGGTTGTAAAAAGCTAAACAATACTCTTTATCTGTTAGAAAAGACCAATCTGGTTAAGTTGTCAGTCATCACTTACTGTCATATATATTAATGTTACTGGGCTGCATTTTGAAAAAATTGTAGACCTATAAATTCCCACTATTGTCCATTATCTGTCTGTCCTTTCTTGAGTTACATAGATGAAAGCCAAGACCAGATGTGGAAAGATTAGGGGAGGAGGCCCCAATTAATTGTATATAAATTTCTGATGCAAACTGGGTCATGTTATTTCAGTTCAAAAATTTCCCCTGAAAGGAGTTAGGTAGATGATCGACACAACTCTATTGCTAACAGGAAAAGTATGATGTACAGGGGTAAGACACTACTAATTTGAGGTGGAGAGCTTATATTTCAAATTAAATAAATTTAAAAAATATGATTAAAAATTGCAGCCCAGTATTGTGATGCTGTCACAATAAATAATAGCTTGTTTAGCTTACTTTTATTCCTTGATGATTTCCTTGATGTTATTGTTGAAATTAAGCTTATAATACCAAAAAGCCATAAATTTTTTCAGTTATTCATTCATTCAATAAAAACTGTAGTACAGTAGTAATGAAAAGCAGTTTAAAAAGGTTACAACAACAGTGTTTATGTAGTAAAAGTTTAAAGGTCATGTTACAAAGATGATTTGTCAGCCACTTTAAAGTGGGGGAAGTTATTTGGTACTCTCACATTAATGACATTATTTATGATCTTAACTTGTGGGGTCTTAGATGTAATTTTTAATAAATCATTTATTGAAAAAAGTCAAATGTTTGAAAAATTATACCTACTTGATAATTATAAAGTAGACAAATCACTGTATTAGTTATTATTACTCACCTAGATCATAAATGGATTTATAAATGTAAGAATACTGAATACATTTCTCACTCTGAAGTGACTAGCAAGTCGCCTTCATAACTCGATATTCAAACTGACCGCCTAAACCAACCTCATCTACCCTTCTATTCATAACAACAGTTTCATTTTTCTTTTTCATTACTTCTACCCATGTCATTTTTGATGAATTAATAATTAATCAATGTTTATGTTTTATCCCAATTTTTATGTTTCATATAAAGAATCCTGTCCAATCTGTTTGGTATTTAGAATTCAATTAATGAGGTTTTTACAGCTGAAAAGATAAATACTGTATTTACTCTCATATAAGACGAGGTATTTATTCATTTTTCATTGCTTCAAAAACCTGGGTCGTCCTATATGCACGAACGAAGGATTCTTTGTGTTTTTGCAATAATTTCTGTGAACCATGTGTACTTCATGCTGTCATTATAGTCTATCGTAAGTTGGCACCTACTGTAAACAAATTAAGACACACACCCCTTTGTTTAATGGTACTACATCCATCAATTAAAAACCGTGTTGCATCTCATTCATTCGCAGAAAATAGTTTCTTATTATTTATGAAAACATTAATGAAATACAAGTCACTTAGCAATGATTATAAATGTACTTATTTTATATTAGTTAAATTGTTATTTTTAATGATTATTAGCACATTCTGAATCATTAACACCTTAAGTTCCCAGCAATTTTTGATATTAATGTAATTAAACATAAAAAATACAGTAGAGCGTCGATTTTCCGAATCAATTGGGGACTGGGGTTGTCCGGATAACTGATATTTCGGATAACTGATTTACATACGAAAAAATAGTTTAATGTATCCGATGTCGAAATTTTTCTCCGTTGCGTGTCGCTTTGCGTTGAATTTTCATCGNTTATATCAAAAATTGCTAGGAACTAAAGCGATTAAGGTAGATCTAGCTGTCCTTTACATCCATAAACGTTATATATCAGTGGAACAAATGGAGTGAGCTTTGAGCGTTCCACGATTTTTGGAGACTGTCTATACACGGGCTTCCTAAACAAGCCTATATGTATGTTTGTCCAAGAAATTTTTGGATGAAATACAAACCGCACAACTTCAAAATCGCATAAAAATAATCCACATAAAAAGAGACCTTACAGTATTCTGTTTTCTGTGAAGTGTTGTAAAACTCACTGTACCAGTAGTCCAATGTGAGGTGGTGCTACATCCTGAATGAATATGATAGAATGGAGACATCTTTGCTACTGAAGTTGTGAAAAAACAAAGTTGAGCAGCATGTCTTGATACCTAATAGCAGTAACAGAACAAGTCACTGTTCCTGTTGTGCAATTTTCTTCAAAAAGTAGAAACATGCTAAACGATGTAGTGAAACCACATTATAAACCAACTTTCAGTGAGTGTAAAGATGTCTGCTGAAACATGAGGATTATTTGCAACTCAAATGCAATAATTAGGTTGTGTTATATCTATCATTCATATAAAAATGTGCTTTGTCACTCCACATGATCTTCAAAGGCCATCCTGTGAAGTAATCATCCATTTCATTTGAGCTAATTGCAGAGCAAACTGCATTCCAGTTTCTGTATCACCATGAAGTAATTTGTGTGAAAAATTTTATACAGGATTTATAAACTTCAGCATTTGATGCAAGATTTTCCATGCAGCTGTACATGGCATATTCAGTTGCCTGGATATTGCCTAAGCACTACTGGAACCTTGTGCATTAGTCATTCCTTGTTCTACATCAATAACTGCAACTTCTTCAAATTGTTAAGGAATAATCAGTACTTTTCTTGCTTATTTACATTTATTTCTTATAGAGCCAAGTTCACAAACACTAAAACAATTAAAGTTGGGTTTTATTTTAGGATAAAACATTTTTTCAGACTCATCCCATCTTCAGATAATACAAGTTTGAAATAAAACCAGAACATTGAAGGCTATTTAAATCTTTAACAGAAATTCAGACAAATTTTACATGTTTAAAAATTAAAACATAAAAAAATTAATTAAAAGTAAACTAATATGAAACCAAATAAAATAAGTTAAAGTAATAAACCCAATGATTTTTCAAATGCTAAGAAATGACAAAGCACCCGTAGACAAAAAACTGGTTCCAGGGGTATACAGAAAACAGTTACACAATAAAAGGCGCCGACCAAAAGGAGCTTTATTACATAGGGGCCACAAAAAGATTGATTAACAAAAAGTTGAAAGAGCATAAAAGGGATATTTGATATGAACAACCAGTAATATAACGCTAAAACTACATGCGCAATCTCATTAACTTGTCTATGATGTGTCTGAACGAT